AATAAGACGAACGGTCAAACCTGTGCTAAAAATTCAACGGTGTCAAATATTTAGAAACTGAGGGAGTAATTAATTATGAGTTAATTGCTTTCTTTGTTTAGAGAAGAGTTTTTTTTATCCGGCCTTTACATCCAACATGATATATGCAGTCATTTAAATTGGGAACTTAGACCTACAAATAACCCAATATGAAATTCGCTCCTATGAAGATTTGAACTCAGAACCCTTGGGTGCTACTCAGGTCACTGCAATCACTAACTTACATGCCCTTTCGCAGTTAATTGCTTTTCTGTGCGTCGTGTTCTAACTTTATCTTCTATCTTCATTAAAAATGAACATAAGCTTAATCCCCTCAGACTCTGTCAATGGGATCATGTTTAATGTTATCCCTGGCATGACCTTGTTTGTGTGACAGAGAGGAAGAGGAGTATATGTGTCTATGTGTGTGTGTGATAGTGAGTGTGTTTTTTGTCCACTTGCTTATTGCCTTTATTCTTATATGGTGCCCTAGCGAGCTAGCCCGAATGACTGTAACGCTCATTTCGGCCCTAACCACAACGGCCTGATGGATGGATCTCTGACAGGTCCGGCTCTCCCCAAGGATTCATTGTGCTTAGGAGCTGTGTGCTTGCTTTTCTCTAATAAGAGACAGGCGAAAATAACCGCCGTCATGATTAGTTTGTAACCTCTTATTCGGTTCGTCGTGAGTCTATTAATAATATCTTTAATTTGTGTTTGAGTTTTAGTGGTACATTGTTGTCTTCATCTTGTTGGTTAAGTAGAAGTCTCCCAGCAATATAATTTACTCCCTCCATTTCTCAATGTAAGGGTCCCTTTAATTTGTAGGAAAAATGTAGGGATTTTGGGGGATTTCAATCCTATGGAAAAAAAATCCTATGAAAGCCTTTGAAAAAAAGGATTGAATCCTATCAAATCCTTTAAAATTCCTATGGAATGGGTAATCCTATGCACATTTTGGAGGAAAGTTAGCAAGAGGTCTAACCTCTTGGAACATTTCATCTGAGTCTATCTCTCTCATCTGATTCCTGCGTTTTTTCTGTAGTCCAATCAAACGGCAATTCCTGTGTTTTTCGTATGTTTTGCAATCATCTGTTTTACAATTGTATTCCTGTCAGAATCATGTGTTTTTCCTATTCCTTTGTTTTTTCATTCCTACGATTCAAAGGGGCCCTAAGACTTTCTAACATTATCCACATACATATAAATGTTAATGAATCTAAACACATACATATATATAGATTCATTAACATCTAAATGATGTAGGCAATGCTAGAAAGTCTTACATTGTGAAACGGAGGAAGTATAAAACACGGTTAAGATTTACAGGATATATACACAATATGACAATACTATCTCCATAAAAAAAGCCCAACATAATATGAGATTGGACATAATCTAGTACAATAAATCTAGTCAGACTCCTATTCAGATTCATTGTACTAGATTATATCTCATTTTATAATAGGTTGGGTTTTTCTTCGACAGAGGGAGTACCTATTTCTCAATGATTATCATTATGAGTTGAGAGTTGAGAACTTTCGATCATAATTACAAGTATCAAAGCATGAATTATTGCAATTGATAACGAGATACTGCTAGTATAGTGTAAAAAAGAAATAAACAAATATATGCGAGATATACTATTTATTTAGATATTTTGTGACGCCTCCCAAACGATATAGGAAGCGCAACAACGGTAGAAATGTAGGAGTATTACAATTTTCGTCACGCCGCACACTGTACACACGCCACAGCATGGACTGCATAATCGATGCCACAGCTGATGGCCGGTTGTCTCGATCAGACAACTAAAGCCCACTAACATTTGTGTGATAATTACACCTCCACAGTAGATGCCAACCCAAATCCCCCTCCTTATCCGCTAAACCACCGGTCCCCACCCACCCCTGCACGAATCTTGATGGCGCCGCAGCCGTCCATCCGCTCCTCGTTGCTTACATTGGGGCCCTTGTAAACGTGCACGCAAGCGTACACCGGAGAAAGGGATAACCGTCTGCGACGTGTAATGAATATACTTACTACATCCGTTCTAAAATATAAAATATAAGTGTTAAGATTAAACGTGGTTATTCAGAAAATAATTAAATATGATTATTTACAAAGTAGATAGAATTAAATAAAGAGAGATTATGATTAGTTAAAAAGCTAAGATAGAAGCGAAAAATACATAATGGAGGGTTGTGATTAGTTGGGAAGGGAATATTGGTAGAGAAATTATTATATTTTAGGATAAATTTTAAGTGCTAAGAATTACTTATATTTTAGTATGTAGCTAGTACCTTCTTTTCTGTTCTTAGCCATAACCGTATCCGTATAGCCTAGCTGTACGCGACGCCATACCATGTACTGTATCAGCTATGATTGGCATTTGCCATTTCCCCATTTGGCTCGTATAATAATTAATATAGTAGCACTACTCCCTTTGTTTCACAATGGAAGTCATTCTAACATTTTCCACATTCATATTGTTTCACAATATATTTATCTAGATTCATTAACATCAATATGAATGTGGAAAAATGCTAGAATGACTTACATTGTGAAACGAAGGAAGTAATTTATATAGGCACTTTTAATTGCTTTGCCAAGTGTTTCATTGTATTCTACTACCTCCGTTTCAGGTTATAAGACTTTCTAACATTGTCCATATTTATATAGATATTAATGAATCTAGGTACACATATTTGTCTAGATTTATTAACATATATATGAACGTGGGCAGTAGTCTTGTAATATGAAACAGATGAAGCATTTATTAAGTAATTTTTTTAAAACTACATATACTTTGATTGAACTATTGTAAAACTACAAATTTAAGATCTTGTATCACAAAACTGCACTTTAGTGAAATTTCATACAAAACTATAGATTTAGGATGGAGTATCATAAAAATAAAGATTTTAGTAAATTTATGAAAAAATTATAGGTATGATGCTAATTTATCCCAAAATTACAATGTTTATAACTCCAACATAACATAGTACTAGGAATTTAAACTATAAAATATGTAGTTTTATATGTAGTTTTATGATAACTTCATTATTAAATCTGTATTTTTGTGGTAACTTCAATATGAAATATGTAATATGTAATTTTGTGATACTTGACTTTAAATATGTAGTTTTGTGATAAATTTATCGTTAAATTTGTACTTTTGCGATGCATCGTCTTAAACCTATAGTTTTGTGACGATTTGATCGAAATATACGTAGTTTCGTGAAATTTACTTTTTTTTCTCAATTTATCCCCCAACTACATTAAAACACATCTTAGTTTTCTCCAAAGTACTATGTATTTATATTTCAGTACAGAGGGAGTAATAGCATTTTTCTTTTCTTTTTGACACAAAAAATATGTTGGACATGTGAAACCAGATATATGGTAAAATGCCATAAATTCGCATGTGATCTTCATGAAATCCGTAAAATAAAATCTCATTTGAAGTAAATTAAGAGGGCCACTTTCAGTGGCTCGGGTGGTAAAATGAACCCAAATAAATAGTTTAGGTGTTTACTGAGCCAGCAAAATAATTGAAAGGAACAAAAGGGACTTTTTCCTACACATATGCGGTGTGGCTAATGTTCTTGTATAGAGCAGACATTGAATTGAGAAGACAGTTTTCATTTAAACATACACGCATATGCTAATTGAGCTTAGTATTATTTTTGTTTCATTAAAAATATTTATCCATAGCCCACTGTGCCAACAGATCAAGGAAACACAAAATCTAAAAAAAAAAGACTAGATAGTGCAAAAAATACTGTGACTTTGTGTTGATCTGCCTTCAGTATGCAAAAATTTCGAACAAACACTGATCGAGGCAACAAACAAATATTATGAAGACGGAAAATGTATGCACCCATCGTTTCGCTTATTCGGTGAAAAATAATTTGTGAATAAAACTTTTATATACGTGTTCTTAGCAATCTAAAAAAATAAAGGTTGAAAAATAAACTTCGATGAAAAAACCCTAAAATCAACTGCAAATTTAAGATTGAAAATTCAAATTTTAGCTGATAAGCATAAGCATAAGCGAAAAGATGAGGCCCATACTATATTCCTATACACCACTATTCCTTTCATTAAACTTTTACTACCTCCGTCCCTAGATATAAGTGATTTTGATTGGATGTGACACATCCTAGTATAACGAATCTGAACAGAGGATGTGTCATATCCAACCAAAATCCTTTATATTTAGGGACAAAGGGAGTAAGATTTTCCACACAATGTGCTAAAAGTTTGACTTTTACACGTCCATATTAGAACTATAGAGTTATACAGCTGAAAAGAAAATAATTACACCAAATTCCACAAAGTTATAAAGTTCAGATGTAAAGCATTTCATTATCTTTTAAAATAAATCGACAAAATTCAGGTAGAAACGATAAGACTTATTTTCAAAAGCAGTCATGTTTAAAGTACTCTTGTTGGAGCACAAACAAGCTAACAGCTGGCTAAAAGGCCCCTTTCTCACTACAATTTTACTCCATGAAAGCTACATCAAACGAATAGATTACATATAAGAGAGAGTTGACAAACGGCTCGAGATAAGCCTAACAATATCATTGCATAATTGCGATATAATTGGTATTATTACTAGGTTGGTGTGATATCCTACAATATTATTAGCACACCTCCAAAGTCCAACCCACAAAAAAAAATCAGAAATCTATCAGAGGCAATCTTTTCTAATAGGTATTTTCCACACAACCAAAGTACACTGATAATAACTCACAAAAGCCAAGAAACAAACAATGAAAAAAAACCAAAAAAATTAAATCAGAACAGAAAAGGAAAACTTTATACTGCAAAAAAAAACCCAAGAAAGACCCAAAACAATAGTGCGTGACCATAGCTGGCGACCAGCAAAGACTCGCAAGAGAGAAATGAATTAAAAAAAGCGAAAAAAATATATTCCACAGTGCACATATATAAATGCACCCCACTTATTGCTCTCTCTCCTCTTCTTTTTCTTCCTTCCTTTTACTCGCTCGCTCGCTCGCTGGGTGTTCGTCCATTTGCCCCCAAGCCGGAGCTGCGCGAGCAGCAGCAGCAGGAGAGAGAGAGAGAGAGAATGGGCGACCGGGCGTACGTGCCGGCATCGAAGCCGGTGCCGGTGGCGGCGGCGCGGGCGGCGAACGGGGTGGCGAACGGAGGCGGAGGAGGGGTTGGGGGTGGGGGAGGGGGAGGGGCGGCGCGGCCGCCGCCCATGGTGCCAGGGCGCGTGCCCCCGCCGCCGATGTACAGGCCGAAGCCGATGCAAGCGCCGGCGAGGCGGAGGCGGAGCCGGCGCGGGTGGTGCTGCGCGTGCTGCCTGTGGATGACGCTGGTGGTGGTGGGGCTGGTGTTCCTGGGCGCCATCGCGGCGGGGGTGTTCTACGTGGCGTACCACCCGCAGCTCCCCACCTTCGCCGTCACGTCCCTCCGCCTCGCCGCGCTCAACGTGTCCGACTCCGACGCCGTCACCTCCCGCATCGAGTTCACCGTCACCGCCCGCAACCCCAACGACAAGATCGCCTTCGCGTACGGCGACATCGCGGCCGCGTTCGCCGCGGACGGCGCCGACGTCGGCGACGGCACGGTCCCGGGGTTCGTCCACCCCGCCGGCAACACCACCGTCATCAAGGGCGACGCCTCCGCCGCCGCCGCCACCGTGGACCCGCTGGTGGCGAACGGCCTCAGATCCAGGAAGTCGCACGCCATGTCGGTGGAGATGGACTCCAAGGTTGGGTTCCAGATCGGCCGCTTCAAGTCCAAGCGCATCAACGTCCGCGTCCTCTGCGCCGGCTTCACCGCCGCCCTCGCCAAGAACACCCCCTCCGCTCCACCGATCGTCGTCGCCGCCGCCCCGTCGCCGGTGAGGTCGGTCGTCAAGGCCTCCTCCTCCTCCTCGAGCACGACGGACGCCAAGTGTAAGCTCCGGGTCAAGATCTGGATTTGGACATTTTGACGGATTTGACGGTAGAGAAGACTTCCTTCTTCCTTCTTCTTCTTGTTTTTTCCCTCTCTCAATTTTTCAACCTTTTTTTCTCTCTCTCACAGTGTATGTGGATTTATTGGAGTATAGTTTATATGATTTTCTTTTACTCACTTCCTCGGCTCATCAACTTTCTCCTTTTTTTTCTCCCCAATTCAATTCCTCCCCCCAAATTCTCCTCCCAATTTCCCCCAAACTACAGATTCAATGATTCATCATGATACAGCAACAGCAATTCCTGCATAGGACTATACTGGACTACTCCATAATTATTACAGTAATTAAAACCACAACTAATTCTCTTCTCAAGAACTAACTTAACCAAAAAACATCTCAGTGAGTGAGCTAGCAGTAGAAGTAGTAAATGGTAAGCTTGCAATTTATTTATTTTTTATTTTGGGTTGGGGTTTAATGGCGCAATTACGCAGCGCGCGTGTCGGTGGCGTCACTCATCACGGAGTCGGTTTTTTTTTTCTTTCCTTCTTTTTTTGGGGCGTCCCCTCCAGGCTTCCAGCTAATACCGGACTGGGAAACAGGTGTACCTTAGCTGGCAGGCTGACGTATGGGGGCCACCTAGGCTCGGGCCCACCTGTAAGTGGCGTGGCGGGTACGGATGGAGGGGAGAAAAGGGTATAGGGTGGGGAGGACGTGTGTCGGGGCGATGAGAGAGAGTGGGAGACGTCACTCGTTCCCATCGGACGAGAGAGAGAGAGAGAGAGAGTGATGAGCACTTGAGCAGGCTTTTGGGCGAAACACAGATCACTCGTTTTTTTAAATAATTTTTTAAAAAAATTAAACTGAATTTTATTTTTTTAACAAAATTGATCGGGGTTTTATTGGTTTCTTAGCGGATTACGTGAAATCTGATGATACCGTCTGTGAGTGAATTTTGATCTGCTATCGGGACTGTGAGCAAAGGTGATGAGTGGTGTTTGTGTGTGAGAGGGTGGTAGTGGTGGTGGTGCGCTGGTGATAGTACAATTGTGGAGTAACCTTTTTTTTTTCTCTGTGAACTTAATTGTGGATGGAGTAACTTGAGATGATTAGATTACTCCAGATTAAGTACTTTAGATTGGATGGATGGATGGATGGATGGGGGTATTTAATGGGGGGTAGTGGTTGGGGGTGGGGGCATTGGGTTTGGGGGGTGCAATTTGCTAAGACCACCACCACCACCACATGGACCAAAAACGTAACGGTCATCTAATGGAAGTATACTTCACTCAGCTTCTCAGATGTCTTTGAGCTTGGGGATATGTTGTTGTAGGGGAATCCTCTCTCTGTTTTTATTTTTATTTTTGCAGGAATTGAATCGCCTCGCTGAGAATAAGTGGAGCCATCTGTTGACGTCAAAAACACGCACTAGCCTGAGAAACGGCATATTTGCAAACAAAAACTATTTTGAGAATAAAACTTTTATATACGTGTTATTAGTGATATAAAAGTAAAGGCTAGAAAATAAACTTCGATAAAAAAAACTTAAAATCAGCTTCAAATTTAAGGTTGAAAGCATAAGGATAAGTCGATGAGCCCTTTTTTTTTTCATCCGTGTGTTCCGAAGAAGCTCTGGTTTTGGGGGTTGTACCGTACACTCAGCATTGTGGAATTATCTCATCAACATAAAATTACTATAGTATTGTCGAACGGCTGTTACACTGTTATTATAGTATGTGTCTATGAGAAGCGTGTACTACTAGTAACTTGCAAACCATCCAGGAGACCAGGACTATATAGGCAGGTTTGGGGGAGCTTTAGCTGCTGGCTGCTGCATCTTTTTTCAGAATCAGAAACTCCCTTAAACAGTTTAATTTTTTTTCTAGAGATTCTAAGAAATTGTTAGTTGTAAAATTTTAAAAATAACTTGAAACCAAAGTTAAGAAAACCAGTATTTTCAAATTCTTAGAGGCTGGTAGCCCTCAAACAAGCTCTATATAGATTTTTGCTGGAATTACTCCCATTCTTTCTCCCATCTGCTTTCTTTCTGGCACGCTAAGCAATACACACACATGTGCAAATGTGGTACAGTACGATAAAAGGAGTGCAACTTGCAGCATCAGCAAGTGTCTTATATTGTTCTCCCTCCAGTCCTGTGGGTACTCGTAGCCAACGGGCGCCGAGAAAGCATGGGATAGTGACAGACAGGTGGGCCCGGATGCCGTTTTCCTCTGTACCTACTACTACGAGTGTGATGAACTCGCAGCGTACGCCCTCCAGGCGCGATACGTATTGGGCCTCCGATCTTGCTGCCGAATGCCACATGGGGGGGGGGGGGGGCGGGGGTGTTCATGATTCAATCATATCCATTCTTTTTTTCTTTTCATATAAACGAGATTTGCTTTATGCGAATTGAGCGTAAGTTTAGTTTTTTTTTAGAACCAACTCACCTGGATTGAAATTGATACGAATGCTCGTGTTTATAGCTAATTTTTTTAGCGGTAGGCGACGTACCCATTGATAACGAGAAGCTCGTGGTTTCGTCAGTTTTAAGATATGCCGGTACAATCTTTCGAAGATATTTATAGAGGTAGTGTACATGTGTTTATAGATTTAAGTGTACACGTACTATGAACATCTGCGTTTTTACGGTGTTTCATTAAAAAGATTTGTTCATAGCACGAGAAAGTATTTTATATGCATAGGCAAGCGGTAAGAATCAGCTTTTAGATTTTTTTTTTCTTTGGAATGGTCATTTGGCTTTTCGAAGGTGGGAGAAAGAGTTTTTAGCTGCATTTTCTTTGTTTTAATACTTAATGCTTGTGCTATTGCAACAAAGCAAACATTCCATTTATGTATTAACTCCATCTCCAAAACAATCAATTCCTGAGGCTTAGGCAGTAGTTTTTTAATTTTTTTAAGATGAAGGGTGTACGTAAATACAACAGTAATGTGATTAAAAGTAGCTTGCTGTGTTTTCTTTTCGTGTTCTCCTCTTGTGCCTTATGAAACTAACACTCCCGATGAAACGGAAGTACTAGTATGGTTCGAAAAGGACTAGAGAAATGGAAATGTGTAAGATAACAACTGTTTTTTGGGCAACAACAAGCCAAATTTATCTTGTAGGGGACCTTCTGTTTTTGCCGATAAGGAATGATGATGTCTTGTTTATCGCTATGTGCATCTCACTTTTTGCAATTGGAGTTGCACAAACACAAGATCATCTTTGGCAAAGATAGGGATAAGAGCGGGTTTAATCTAGTTTAACTGAATAAACTAACTTTTACTTTTTATATTAAAACTAAAATGTACATCATCTAGTCAGAACTAAAATGAATTAATTATTACTCATATGTCGACCCACGCCAAAATCCCTAGACAAAGGAAGGACAAAAAGGAAATGAAGATTTGATTTGTTAGTGGCGAAAACATTGCCATAGTTCTCATATGCTCTTATGTCATGAAAGATGTTCATCAAATGTGGCCTCAAAAATATAACTATAGTAGGAATTATAACAATATGACAATGCCTTTCGATACATATATAAATATGTAATTGTTATATCTCTAATCTAACTACAAAAATAAATAATATGCATCTAATTAAGTTTTGAGGCCGATTTTCGTGGAAATTAATTAACTAGTTCCTACGAATGCCTTGCAAAATTTCCGCGCGACAGTCTGCACATTAAGGAATAACCAGGAAGCTTAGACTATCTAGTACTCCATCCGTTTTTTAATATATGACACCGTTGACTTTTCAATTAACGTTTGACTATTCGTTTTATTCAATTTTTTTTGTGCAAATATGAAAATATTTATGTCATGCTTAAAGAACATTTGATGACGAATCAAGTCACAATAAAATAAATGATAATTATATAAATTTTTTGAATAAGACGAATGGTCAAACGTTAGATAAAAAATCAATGGCGTCGTGCATTAAAATATGTAGTACATTATTACCCATTGAGCTCCTGTTTTGACGGCCGGGGTTAAACTTTGGAGGAATCACGTGGTCGACCGGCTAAAACCCAGGCACCTAGCTAATTAACCCCTGGCTGTGCCCTTCCAACATGTACGTTGCAAACATGTTTGTTAATTAACTTTAGCATCAGAATGGTGATGGGTTTGCATATATTAGACAATTTATTAATTAACGTCGCCCATGGGTTGGATCTAGAAATCTTTTCTCTCTCACTGCAGTTCATGTGCTGATGTCACAATCACACCGTTCTATTCTCCTGTGGAGGACACCTGTGTATGGTGCGGCGTGTACCATAGTCCACGCCATGTGTATTGTAAGACAGCACCGTATTATCAAAATGGGACGGTGACGTCTTCTATTTGTTACAATTTTTGTGTGTGTGTGTGTTAATATCCTGTTCAATTAAGATGAAGCTTTAAAAACTATAAGGTTGCTAATTAAGTATTGCAAGATTACATAACTAAGAGGTCATATCACATAGGTTTTTAGACGGAAAAAGATCCCCTGCCACAACTGCAAACTTCCGTTTTAGGCTCCACCTTGACAGGCCTTTGAATTTGAATAAACGCGGCCAAATGCTATGCAATGGATATGTTTGTTTTTGATTCATGGAGCTTTAATTCATTAAAAACCCCTTTGATTTGGAGGAAGAACTTATTTGGAGGATTTTAACGCTTTAGAAAAAATTCCTATAAAGGCCTTTGAAACAAAGGATAAAATCCTATCCTATTCATTGAAATTTCTATGGAATGGACAATCCTATAGAGATTTTGGAGAAAATTTAGCAAGAACTCTAATCTCTTGATAAATTTTCCTTTGAGTCTATCTCTTTCTTCCAATTCCTACATTTCAAATGGTCATTCCTGCATTTTGCACTTACATTCCTATCAGAATCATGTGTTTTTCTTATTCTTTCTTTTTTTATTTCTGCGATTCAAAGAGGCCCTAAAAACCACTTCGAGTCCTATGAAAAATATAGGAAATTTGGATGATTTTAATTCTATAAGAATAAAAAAAAATCTTTGAAGATCTTTGAAAGAAGGGATTGAATACTACCATTTACTTTGAAATTTCTACACAATGAACAATCCTACAGAGTCTACAGAGTGGTGAGATTTTGGAGTAAAGTTTTTCTTTTTAACTTTTCCCAGAAAGATAGGGTACTCCATTTGCACATCAGCACATACCAGAGTGGCACTCAGCTCTACTAGTGTATACTGCAAAAAAAAAAAGAGAAGAAAAAGAAGGCACATGCCATATTCTGCATACAAAGGTAAAAAGAGGAAGAATATTTGCAAAGCTAATTCAGACCTATCCCTCCAATGCAGTGCAATGATTTGTCTTAAGTCCCACTTCTCCCGGTTCCCAAGTGAAGGAAGGCCGGAGCATATGCCTACTCCACAAAAGAGAAATTAAAATACAACATACTAATGGTACAAGTAATAATCACATGGAGATGAAGAAGAGTCAAACAATATATGAATCCAATTCTCACAAATATTTTCTTGTTGTAAATTGTCTCCATGATTAGAAGATCAACCCTGGAATAGATGAATAGGAAATCATGTATGATCAATCCTTGAATAGAAGAAATATGAAATCGTGTAGTATAATGGTTTTCTGATAAAAGAAATAAATAGAACACAATGTAGTAGTTCTTCACATTCTTACAACAACACCCCTTCTGTCCAAAAACATATACTCACTTCGTCCCAAAATATAGCAACTTTTGATTGGATGAGATATACCCTAGTACTATGAATCTAGATAGGTGGTCTGTCCAGATTCGTAGTACTAGGATATGTCCTCCTATCCAACCAAAAGTTACTATATTTTAGGATGGAGGGAATATTTCTGAAATTCTCAATATTTGTAAGTAAGCAGCAAGTTTTCTTCACTGGATGTTGTTTCATGTCAAGTTGACGCTCAGTTTACGTTTTTACATGTAAATTCCTTGCCTGATAGCATTAGATTCATATTTGGAATTAATTTTACATGATGCCAATTCATAGTTGTTGATAATATACTGTAAAAAAAATCAACGGCAAAAGTTGTGTATTGAAGAACATGTCTATTACTTATGCATTTATATTTACAGAGGTGGTACCTTGAGAATAGAAGAAGCCGTCGTGGTGAAAACCCCAACCAAAATGTGTGAATTGATGATTTGAAGGCATGAATCAGCAACACATGATATGATGGTTTGAATTATGTTTAAATTCAAAACTGATCATCCAAAATTCTTCTTTTCTCATGTAAACTCTAGTGGATAGGTTTGTACGGAGGAAAATTTTCCCCAAATGTGTCGTACAAGGTTAAATATTGTGGAATACTATAAAAAGTGGTAATTAGCTGTTAGACACTTCTCTCATTATTTTATTATTTCTGGTCAAAATGGAGAGAGAAAGAGTTGTGTAAGTACCAAAATACCCCTGTACAGTGTTCTTCCTCTCACTTCTTTTCTTTTCCCCTCTTCTTCTTCTTCGCAGTGGAGCAGAGGGCGACGGCGGCCGGCCCGGACGGCGGACGGCGGGGCGGCGGCGGCGGCGCATCGCCCACGGCGCCGCCGGCGACGCCCTCCGCGTCGGCGCGGTGCGCGGCGGCGGTGGCGGGCTCGACTTCTTCGCGTCGCGCTCCCACGCCGCCCACCTCATCGACCTCGTCACCTCGCCGTGGCCCGGCCGCGTCGTCGCGTCCAAGCACGCCGCCGCGTCGTCGCGTGCTTTGCGGCGAGCTGCCCGAACAGCACATCATCAGCGTCATCGAGGAAGCCGCGCACCACGTCTGTGAGGCACTGGCAACGTCGTCGAGGCCGTCCGCCACGTGCGCTCCGTCATGGGCGAAATCCGCGCGCTCCGCAACATGGACGACGACGAGGTCTTCGCCTACGCCAAGCGCATCGCCGCGCCCTACGACCTCGTCATGCAGACCAAGCAGCTGGGCCGCCTCCCCGTCGTGCAGTTCGCGGCCGGCGGCGTCACCACCCCCGCCGACGCCGCCCTCATGATGCAGCTCGGCTGCGACGGCGTCTTCGTCGGCTCGGGCATCTTCAAGAGCGGCGACCCCGCGCGCCGCGCCCGCGCCATCGTGCAGGCCGTCACCCACTGCAGGTTGTCGCGTCCAAGCACGCCGCCGCCTCGTCGTCCTCGCTGGCGGAAGAAAGAGAGGAAGAGATGAACGGAGAGAGAGAGAGAGGAAGAAGAACAATAGAGAAAGAGGGATTGACAAGTGGGCCCATGGGAAAATTTGTCTTTAACTAAATTTTTTCAATCCATTTTGACAGTTAAATTTTTTCAATCCATTTTGACCGAAAATAATAAAATAATGAGAAGAGGGTCCAGCAGCTAGTTACCACTTTTTTAGTGTACACGAGCAAATACACGATCTTCGGCTGTCTCACAACAAAGATCACATAAATCTTTCGGTGTCCTATAGCAAATTTTGCCATGTATGAATTGCCACTTTGGTGTGGTTGTTGGCTATGCAGAGGATAAAGATGACGCGATCGAACTGTAGTAGTGCGAGTGCGTGTGTGACGCAGAGGCATCCACGCACCACGTACAACGGGTCGAGTAGGTCGTAGCCAGCCTCAGACCGGGCCCGGACCACGGCTCGACCGGGTCGGGTCAGACCGTCATCGCATCGCATCGCTGCAGCCGCGCGGCGGCGTCGCGCCCAAACCACCGCCGCGAGACGAGATTTTGCGCGCCCGCATCGCACTCGCAGCAGCAGCGCCTCCTTCCTTATCTCTCTCTCTCCCCCCTTCCTGCATCCATGGCGGCGATGGCGGCGGCCTCCCTCCTGTGCGCGAGGGCGGCGGCGGCGGCGCCCACGCTGCGCCTACGCGGCGGAGGCAGGGGAGCACGCCTCGTCTTCTCCTGCTCCGCCTCCTCGTCGTCGCCGTCCGGGGAAGGAGGGTTCAGTGGGAAGGTGGGGTTCCTCGGCCTCGGGATCATGGGCGCACCCATGGCCTCCAACCTCATCAACGCCGGGTAAACTAATCCGCAACTGCTCTCCTCCTTCCTTTTGCACTCTGCTCTTGGTACTAGTAGCTGTTACTACTGTTCTACATATCTTTTTCTCTCTCCTGTGGAATTCGTCTCGAGCCTAGTTCGTCAGCTTCTGCTTGTACGGTTTCGATGGTGTTCATGGCTGCTGCTGCTGCTTCTGCTTCTGCTGATGCTTCTACAGTTGTGTGCTTGTTTTGTCTCCTCTTGCTGCAGGTGCGATGTCACGGTGTGGAACAGGACCAGGAGCAAGTGCGACCCGCTCCTCAGCCTCGGCGCCAAGTATGCCATCCCCACCCGTTGCATTTCCATTTCCATTTCCATTTCCATTTCCATTTCCATTTCCCCTTATGAATCAACAATCTAGCTGGCTAGCTAGCTTTGCTTGCTTGCTTGTTGAATGGGTGAGGCAATAGTGTGCGCCATGATTAGGATTCTGGAGCTGGACAGTGGACACTGCAATGCAATGCAGTGCAGCTCTGGATTGGTAGGCACAAACGGAGATTGTTCATAATTTGCTCTTCGTTTGTGATTCTTTACTTTCTTTTCGATGACATATGCTCTTTTCCTGAAATTCCACTCAGAAGTAATCCACTTGTAGAGCACAGAGGCTTTACAGCTATAACAAATTTGCTGTCATTACTGTTCATGCTGACCCAAACAGAGAGACAGGGAAAAGAAAAGAGAGAGAAAAAAAAAGACATAATTCTATTTGACAAAAAGATATGTACAGCACTTTGCTTGATACAAAGAGGATGCCTTGCCTGCCTACAGGTACGAGCCTTCACCGGCCGATGTTGCTTCGTCTTGCGATGTGACCTTCGCGATGCTTGCTGATCCGGAGAGCGCGGTATATGCCCTCGTTTCAGAAAATTCTTCAGTCTGCAATACTATTTCGTGTTCGTGAAAGCTCACATGGCAGATCTAATCATTCGTCTAACGGTTTGTACCTCCACTCAGGTTGAGGTTGCATGCGGGGCCAATGGAGCTGCACAGGGGATGGCCCCAGGGAAAGGGTAATCTTTGCTGTGAGAAGGCATCAGAAAGCCTGGAGCATCAAGAATGTGCTGGCCTAGATAGCATTATCTCTTATATCGTGTTTTCTGTCACAGGTATGTGGATGTGTCGACGGTTGACGCTGCTACATCCAAGCTGATTGGCAAGCACATTACAAGTACTGGGGCATCTTTCCTTGAGGTAGTTTCTGGTCCCTGCCACTGATCGTACCCTACTCGTCATGTGTTCAACTGTTGATTGTGTTGTCTCAATGTGTCGCTAGCGATGCGATTTCAGCTCTTGTACTGTTGGTCCAATGCTAACTCGATACCTTTTCAGTAGGCTCCAGTTTCAGGCTCAAAAAAGCCAGCAGAAGATGGGCTGCTCATCTTTCTTACCGCAGGTAAACTTCCACCTGACACCTCCAAGCTTTGTAATTGTGAGATTTCAGTGTGCAGCTGTCATGTTCCTTATTATGTTACCTGAAATGGTCCATACGTTTGTGTAAGGTGATGAGTCCTTGTACAATAGAGTGGCATCCCTCCTTGATGTTATGGGCAAGGTTAACTTCTTTTATCTACAATCAGTACTCCATTTAGGCCCTCATATTGAGCCAGGAAATGCACTTACGCTGTCCTTACTCTGAAATCAGTCAAGATTTTTCCTCGGTGACGTTGGCAAAGGTGCAGACATGAAGCTCGTTGTTAATATGGTCATGGGGAGGTACCAAAGAAGTCCTTCACATTCAATATTCTAGCAACCTTACTCCTGTAGTCTGTTGATACTTATTAATGAATGAGTTCTGATCTTCTTGGCAAAATACTGCAGCATGATGGTTTCGTTTTCAGAAGGACTGCTCCTGAGCGAAAAAGTTGGCCTAGACCCCAATACTCTTGTCGAGGTTAGTTAGCTCTTACAGTGCTTCAGTGGTAAATACCCAAGTACAGGAATCTAATCTAGGACACACCATACATTGATCCTTTACAGGTTATTTCACAAGGTGCTATCAGTGCTCCCATGTTCTCCCTCAAGGGCCCTTCCATGGTTAAAGCTGCATACCCTACTGCTTTTCCTCTGAAGCATCAGCAGAAGGTAGCCCCTACTTGCATGTTAATGTTGCCAGCACTAAAAACCAGCAACAATTGCATCTCGTCTGATTTCTGTGGCACTGCGAAAAACTGGATTTTTCATGGCAGGATTTGAGGCTCGCATTGGCCCTGGCAGAATCGGTGTCCCAGTCTATTCCTACAGTCGCAGCTGCAAACGAGCTGTACAAGGTCGCGAAATCGCTTGGGCTTGCAGACCAGGACTTCTCTGCTGTAATCGAGGCGCTGAAGGCAAAGGAGCAGAGCAAGTGAAAACTGCCATTGATGCATAGGAAACAAAATGTTTGTTCAGCTGCCATTGATGCAGCATTGTCTATCAATGAACTGAAACCATGGCAATTCTCCCAATTTTGTTACAGAAGTAATACTTGTTTTTCAGGAATAAAAAACTGATTGATGACAGAATACCTGCAATTGGCGAGTATCTGGCCCCAACATTACTGTTTGTCATTACACGGCAATTCAGCAAAGATACAGAAAAACTTCTTTTGTCAACTTGCAGAACATACAGTACAACAAGGGAGCATCACAGGGCTAAAGAAATGGACTCTGGAGCTACCATTCTAGACAAATACAACAGGTTCTCTGTTAGGTATAACCATCCAACGTCTAAGGTAGCTGAAAATTATTAGGATGTAAACAGTATTTCCGTGTGTGTGGCCATGTGATACAAAAATTCACATATCAAGCAGAGTCTAAATGTGCCTTCTACAATGTTATGATTTCTCTTATGTTTTCTTACCACACACTTGAGGAACATGAAACGAAATAACAGCTTACACACAATCAATATGTTCTATTGATGACTGCAGCAGCATTAGCAAACTCTTCGTGATCCTCAAGAGCTGTCAATCGATCCAACATCATTTGGTGACTGCTAAGATCCGATACCGGCGATTTCACCCTTCGCTTTCGCTGCAGCTTGCTGTGCTGCGGCTGCTGCAGCTGCCGCTGCCGCTGCAGCTGATGCAGCTGGAGATGATGGTACAGCTGGTGTCTTCTGTGGAGCTTCAATAGCATGCTCCTGCTGCTGCTTGTTGTTTACTTGGGCCAATATGTTCTTTATTTGGGCACCGGTGAGCGTCTCGTGCTCAAGCAGCGCATTGGCTAGAGCATGGAGCTCCTTGTTGTGTTTGATGAGAATATTCTTTGCATTGTTGTAAGCATTCTCCACGAAACACTTGACCTCCTTCTCAATCAGGAGTCTCGTTTCGGTGCTCATGCTCTTTCCATCATCCTCATAATTGTAAGAAACAAAGCCAAGCTGCTTGCTCATACCATATTTGGTTACCATTGCTCTTGCCACTGCAGTTGCTTGCTGAAAATCAGATGAAGCGCCAGATGTCACCTCGCTATCCCCAAAAATAAGCTCCTCCGCCACCCGCCCTCCCATGCACACATCCAGCCTTGCCAGCATCTGTTTCCGTGACACGCTTGTCTCATCTTTATCCGGGAGTTGGGCCACCATTCCAAGGGCCATTCCCCTGGGAACTATGGTAGCTTTGTGAACAGGGTGAGCACCTTCAGTGTGGATGGCAACAAGGGCGTGCCCTCCCTCATGGTACGCCGTCAATTTCCGGGATTCATCAGAAATAACTGCTGACTTGCGCTCACTGCCCATCATGATCCGGTCCTTGGCATACTCAAGATCATTCATTGTAACGGCTTTTGCCCCATCCATGGCAGCTTTAAGAGCAGCCACATTAACCAAGTTAGCAAGGTCTGCACCTGAGAATCCAGGTGTTCCCCTGGCAATGATCATCAAATCCACATCATCACTCTTCAAGACCTGTAACCATATGTGTATAAGGATAAATATAAGACATTCCATCTTAGTCTGGACAAACATGATACCAAAAGTTCTCAAGAATTACCTTTGACATATGGGACTCTAGGATTTGCCGCCGGCCTTCAACATCTGGATTTGGAACAACAATATGCCGGTCAAAGCGCCCAGGTCTCACTAGTGCTTTATCTAGGGACTCAGGAAAGTTGGTTGCAGCAATAACAATTATCCCCTCATTCTGCTTAAAGCCATCCAGCTCGACAAGCAACTGGTTCAACGTCATCTTCATATACTGTTGATCCTTTGGATTTCTACTCCCACCGATCGCATCAATTTCATCCATGAATATGATACAGGGAGAACGTTTTTTAGCTGCAGCAAAAAGGTCCCTGACTCTTCTAGCTCCTACGCCTACAAACATCTCCTCAAATTCACTACCACTGCATGAGAAGAAAGGAACACCAGCTTCCCCAGCAATAGCCCTTGCTAACATGGTCTTTCCAGTGCCAGGAGGACCAACCAGCAAGACACCTTTTGGCAGTTTTCCACCAAGACGTGTAAAACGCTGAAAACAAGGAAGCAGCTTGTCATTTGCCGTATAACATATGCATGTGATGAAAATGAGGGGTAAATCCTCACACCATTTATGGGCTTAACGATGCATAAACAGATATATGTGACATAACCGGACATCAATTCCACACATTATCTAAATAGTAAATTTCACATTGGCCACATATTTTGACCAAAGTTTCATAATGTACCAGGGATTAATCAATGTTTTCACATAACACCATGTATATTATTTCATTAGTTTGTGGTTTGGACTAGGGGTAAGCATACCAAGAGAATATGTGAGAACTTTATGTGGTTAAGCATGGATGAATACCAAAATAGGAGGTAACACATTGTATGTTTTGTTCATTCTTTTTAGTGGTATCTAATCAATAAGTTCTATTTATATTTCGTTTTTATTCATTTGCTCCTCTGTGAGTCTGTGTAGATTAATTTGTGCCCTTTTTAGAACATGTTCACATCACTGTTTCCTGTGATCTGTTGAAAAAACTTGTTTTTCGATTTGCTAAAATACCATTTGACGGAATTCTCTAAATATATTTATCTTACTATTATGAAACACTAAAATGATTGTTTGGATTAGCTTTTTTTCTCACATATTCCCTTGATGTGCTCAACCCTAGTCCAAAGTCCAAACTACCAAAAATGCTAAGATATGTGGTAAAATGCTGGTTTAGTCCTTGTCCATTGTGAAACCTTGGTCAAATATATGGTCCAATGTGAAATTTACCCCTATCTAAATTATAATAAGTGAGCTAAACAACCTAGAATTAACAATGAAATTGAAAAGGTATATCTATAATGCATTTACCAAATAAAGTAACAGCGTGCATGTAATAGAACTAACAAGCTGGAAACTGTCAACGAAATCAAACAAAGGTTTTGAATCAATCAGGATATTGATAGATAAACTGAGTTAGCTTATCAATACCTCGTGATTCAGTACAATGAAGAAAGTCAGAGATAAATCTATTGCAGAACAGTTTTAAACTTTACATCGTTAGTATGTCAAAATTAATCCATTGCACTTGGACAACTGGGCTTGAACCTCTTAAATATTAATGTCTATTAACAAAAACTGCAATATAAAACCATTATCAGATGGGGGGAACAAACCTGTAAGAAACATGTTCAGATAACTCTGCATCCAAACAGCTAGACAATGTTACCAGTTTTCAAGACTAGGGGCTCAAAAGCATTTACCTTGGGATCTCGGAGGTAGTGAACTATTTCCTCAAGTTCAGCTTTGGCTTCATCGACACCCTTTACATCACTGAATTTCGTATTAGATTCCATGCTTGGTTGAACCTCTTCATTTAGACCAAGGCCTACACATATTTTATCAATCAGAACTACACAGGAATAAGTTCAGTAAACAAGGAATTAGCCATTCAGATCTTTCAGAATTCAAACCTTTGCTTATTCCTCTATCCTCAATAAGAGCTCCAATGCCAGAAATCAGGAGGAATGTTAGCGCTATACTTCGAAAGGTACGCCAAAGCTGTTCCTTAAATTGACCTGTTTCTGCTGTAACCATGTGAATGGGTGCATTTGCAGTGCCAAGAATTCCATCTTTTGTCACTTGACCAGCACTTCTAAATGCTGAAACACTACCAAGATTTTCTGAAACACTACCAAGGTTTTCTTCCTCCCTTGCTGAAGCAGCAATTCCTGTAAGGATGAAGCAAGGATGTAATTTTAGACCAAGTTAATCAAAGAATCACCATTATTAATTGAAGGAACTGTAAGAAGGCTTCAAAGTTGTAGTTTAGTCAACAACAGACAAGGACAGTACTATACAACAAATTAGTTTCTCTCAACCTATCTTGAGAAGACAAAATCAAATAGGACTACCCTTGTAAGATAGGAATAGGTGGGTCAAGATTATGACCCATCCCACAGTTGTAAAAATCAATAACCAAACATCATGATAACCAACAGGCCATGAAGAACTACAAAAAATATAATTGGAACTACAATAGACTAATAGAGGATGATTTTTTTTCATGGCAAAATTTCTATGCCATATTAAGATGATTATCCATGATTTTGTTAACTGCTGAAATGTGTAGTAATTTCCTTGTAAGACTTGAACTACGGTAACCACAGTCCACAGGCTTGAAGAATTACAAATTACAGTAAGCTGAACTACAGTAGGAGATGAAGTTTTGAAGGTAACATATATGTGCTAGCATATGAAGAATTGTTTACTGCTGTTATATTGTAATTTCCTTGTGTGGCTTAATGACAAACTGAACAATCATGACACCAAATGTAAGACTAACATGACAACAGATCTACATTGGAAGTGTTTGGCAAGCTAATGAAGCATTCTCCAGTCTTCAAATAAGGAAAATAAACACTAGTAGCATAACCCACACAAAAATCAGCAGAATAGTCCTGAAACAGATAAAGTGTTGGTCGGTATTAGTACCTCTCTGCAATGTTTTCAGCAAGGTGCTATCCTCCAACCTATCAACCCTGACAAGAGCTTTTACATACTCAGCAAGTGCTGAAGGATTGGAATGCAATGAAGGTTGGCTTTCAAATATCTGTATGACACGTTCTGGATCACTCCTATATATTTCTTTCAGCAGAGAGGCTTCACTTGGTGAGTCCATCTGTCGCATCCTGCGTGCAAAGCTACCAACATAGCTTGACTGATACCTCTCATGTAAGTTTCTAAGTGTTCCACCTGCATTAAGCACCCCAAAAACCATAACTCAATATGAAAGTGCAAACAAATTCATCACAACAGGAGGAAATGGAAACAATAGCACTGCTCATAAGAAAGTAATATGATAATACAGCTTTAAAGACATCTCCAGAAAAGGAAAAAGGAGGAACACACCAATGAAGGTATATGTTTAATATGGGGAGGACTATATGCCAGATATCCAAGACTGAACCTCATATCTATCATAAATTTTGAAACTTGCAATTTTAGAACCCACTATTGCATTACTAAAATGATTGAGTTGGCATATATAATACAAAGACTGCATACCTGCTATGGTGTCACCTCTAAGAATCCTCGATGGGTTGGCATATATTATTTCATTGCAGATTGCATATGCGGATCGGTTCCTTGCGACCTGTGATGAGAAAAACAGCATAACCTTACGTTCAGTAAACCATTGTAGCACCAATCCTTATTCAATTGCAGTCCCCTTTTGATGATTACAAGCTCCAATTAACGCATGCCTACAAGCTAAGCGGGTCCTGGACTCAATTTTAGCTATCTCCAACAAAATTCTCATAGAGATTGTCATGCCAATCCGATAAATATCGAAACATAAAAGACAAGCCATATGACATGAAAACAAGGTTGCCGTGCTGTTTTCAACGGATTAGTCTAAAACCACAAAGCATCCAGCACGAACAGGATCACGCTAATCCAGGTCAAGAAACAGAAGCTCAATCGCGGCGCGGAGCATCGACCCTTCCATCCAATACGGGCACCCACACGAACATCTCCCAAGATTACTACTCTTATCTTAACAGGAAACGAAACCAACCCCCACCCCTCAGCCCCCTGCGTCCCCGCGCCCACCGCGCAAGATCGAGCCCTCCTCCCCGACCACAACCCACAACCCACGAGCGAGAGAGAGAGAGAGAGAGAGAGAGAGAGAAGAGAGAGAGAGAGAGAGAGAGAGAGAGAGAGAAAGGCCGGAAGGAAACCGCACCTGCGAAAGGACGCGCCGCCACGCCATCGGCCGGAATCCCTTATTAGTCCGCCGCCGCCGCCGCGATGAGATCCCCAACCCGCAAGAGAACCCTGTGTGAGGGCGGCGGCGGGGGAGGGGGGGGAGGGTTGCGCTGGAGAAGCGAGCGAAGCCCCAAGAGCGGCGGGGGCTCGGTCGCGGCGGAGGCGAGGAATTCGCCGGCGGCGAGGTGGGGGGAAGAGAGGAGGGATGGGCCACGTCAGTTGACGGTCACGCGGCGCAGGGGGACACCGACCGGAGAGAGGAGTTCTCGGTGATTTTCTTGCCCGAAAATAATAATAATAATATAATATGTGGTGATTTTCTTTCGTGATAAGAATCTGCGATATTTTCTACTCTGGGACGGGCTTCCCGGCCCATAGGCCCATCATCCCAGCCCAACAGCCCTCGCGACTTTCTTTATTTTCCCAATTTTGCTTTTTAAAATGTGGCTATTTGTTGAGACACGTGGTAAAAATCTCTGCTAGGCCTCCCAGGGGCACTGTAAAGAAGAAGAGAAAAAAAGTGTGTTCCTTTGCTGTGGTGTGGTACGGCTTTGTTTTCTACTAGTACATACGCAGAATTAAAATGAGAGTAAGTTTTTTTTTTGGCAAAATCTATATCAAGAGGCCTCTCGTTTTAGTGCTAACGAGAGACCCTATGTAGATTGCCTTAACTGTAGTACTAGTCCCTATCAAGTAAGTAGAAAATATAAGGCAAAATTTGCCCTGGGACACACAAAAATTGTGTAATTGGCTGTGAGACACTGTAAAATCATGTCGTTGCTGATGGACACCACAAAATTCATGTAATTTGCTGTAGGACACCTGAGACAATATTTTATCATTTTTTAATAAAAAAGATGGGAGAGAAATTTTAAAAAGACAAAATTGCCCTTAGCCCTATCTAATCCCCACTGCCTGCACCCGCATCTCAGTGCCGCTCGTCATCTGCCATCGTCGAAGCCGCGGCAGCCACGCTCGCCGACGCCGCCGTTGCTGATCGCTGCTGCCAGGCCGCAGCCACCTCTGTTCACCACCACCGCCATCGAAGCCGCTGTCGCCGGGCTCATCACCCGTCTGCTGCGCGGTGCGGGAGCAGCGGGGAGGAGGAGGAGGGCGTGGCGGTGGCGGGTCTCCTCGCTTGATGGCAAGTGGATGCGGTGGTAGCCCGGGACGGCGGCGGTGGAGGAGGAGGACGCACGAAGGCGAGGGACGTGTCAGAGGTGGAGAACAAGATGAGCTTGTCCGGAAGCAACGACCTCGATGTCGTCTCTTGCGACGACATGGGCGGTGGCATGGGCGATGACGATGACGAGGACGCTGAGCACGGGAAACCGTGCAACGCCAACCAGCATTCGACTCACGCGCCACTTCGCCTTGCTATGCTGCCTTTGTGTGAGAAAGAAGCAGAGAAAGAGAGAGAGGGAGAGTCAATGAGAGGAAGAGGAAAAAAATAGAGGAGAAGGGGGAGAGAAGGTGCAAAACCGCCATTTTACGTGGTTTCTCTCTCATCAATTTAGTGGAAATTATATTTTAATGCGCCTAGTGTCATACAATAAATTACCACACTTTTAGAGTGTCATCGGGCAAATTCACGTTTTTCGGGTGTCCCACAGCTAATTACATAATTTTTTAGTGTCCTGTAACAAATTTTGCCAAAATATAATCCTATCACCTATGTTTTAAATGAAATTTTCTCTTAAACTACTCATCCGATTTATGATCCGATTAGACAGTTGTGTTCGTAAGAATTAAATCTTTACAACAAGATCTCACATAAATATATTTTGATGAAAAAAATACAAATTACTTTTATAGTATATCTAAATTATTTTTAGATTTCACTAAATTACTTCTTAGACATATAAAAGTAATTCCAGTAAAGCTTAAAAGTAATTCACATATATTATATAAGTAACTTAAGATAAAAAAGAAGTAACTTTGTCATGACATTAAAAATAGATCTGTTATGGAGGTAAAAACGTGAGTCTATCTAAAAATTAAATTTAATCAGCACAAATTATGGAATTGACTAAAAAAGATAATAAAATAAACAACTCACAACATTATGATTGTATAATAAGTAATTTAATCAAATCGAAAAGTAATATATATATATATGATAAAAGTAACTTACATATATAATAAAAGTAATTTACAACATAGATATTTCTTTTATTAAAATATAGTCATCTAAGATCTTGTTATAAAGATTTAATTGCAATGAACACAATTGTGTAAGTGGATTATAAATCGGATAAATAATTTAAAAGAAAAATTTACAAGAAGAAAAAAAACATGTATCATTTGGTGTACTGGTATACAATCAGGTCTAAGATGAGTCTCTGATTAAGACAATAGAGTGTGGTCTAAGTCATATCTTTTTTTTTTCTTTCCCAACAACACTTTGCTTCATTGTCAAAACTACGGATAGTAATCGGCCGTGACGAGAACGGATAGTAATATTGCGCATGGAAAATAATCTTAAGGATTGAAGTAGTACTTTTCTCCATCTTTTTTGTGGAATGTTGCACTTGTGGTCTTACGATATTTCGTTAATTATTTTGTGCTACAGTTTATACATTAAATTTGTTTCTTGTTTTTTTCAAAAAAAATTCCAATGCTTTGATAATTTGGGACCCCGTTTTAGCAAGTGTTTCATATACATGATCAACTGAAGTACTGAACAATCGATCAACCGATAATTTAACTCGAATTATACGTGCGACCCTAGACTAGTCCAATATAATTGCCTGAACCTTAATAATATTTCCTGAATATTGGTCCTATGTCCCCTCTATTTTTAATAGTCGTCAGTTTCTTAAATAAAGATAAATAAACAAAGGACATGGACTACGGTTAGCTATCAAATTATTACTACAATATATCAACACTACATAGGCCCCTCGCTGGAGCCTGGAAGGGAAGGTCTCCAGCAACAAAACAGCTCTGACCTGGTGAGAACGTACCAAAAGACATTTCTTGCGCAGAAGAGCAGGTGAACACTACACATTTTGCTCAAATCTCCTACCTTAGCTGCTACTTAGATTGTACTCCTATGCTGCCAATCGGTGGATGTTCCATGCGCTCAAGATCCAATACCAGCAACACCCTTGGCTTTCGCCGCAGCTTGTTTTGCTGCGGCGGCCGCCGTCGCCGCCGCCGCTGCGGCCGCCGACGCAGCTGGAGACGACGGCGCAGCTGGCGTCTTCCGTGGAGCTTCAACAGCATGCTCCTGCTGCTGCTGTGTGCTATTTGCCTGGGCCAAGATCTTCTTTATCTGGGCTCCGGTGAGAGTCTCGTGCTCAAGAAGTGCTTGGGCTAGAACATGGTGCTCCTTGCTGTGTTTTGTGAGGATGGTCTTTGCATTGTTGTAGGCATTCTCCAGCAGGCTCTTCACCTCCTGCTCAATCAGAAGCCTTGTTTCTGTGCTCATGCTCTTTCCATCATCCTCATAATTGTAAGAGACAAAGCCAAGCTGCTTGCTCATGCCATATTTCGTAACCATTGCTCTTGCCATTTTGGTCGCGTTCTGGAAATCAGACGATGCACCGGATGTTACCTCGCTATCCCCAAAAATAAGCTCCTCCGCCACCCGTCCTGCCATGGAGACATCCAGCCATGCCAGCATCTGTTTCCGTGAGAAGCTTGTCTCATCTTTTTCTGGGAGTTGGGACACCATCCCAAGGGTCCTTCCCCTGGGCACTATGGTGGCTTTGTGGACAGGGCGAGCACCTTCAGTGTGGATGGCAACAAGGGCGTGCCCTCCCTCATGGTACGCCGTCAATTTCCGGGATTCATCAGAAATAACTGCTGACTTGCGCTCACTGCCCATCATGATCCGGTCCTTGGCATACTCAAGGTCATTCATTGTAACGGCTTTTGCCCCATCCATGGCAGCCTTAAGAGCAGCCACATTTACCAAGTTAGCAAGGTCTGCACCTGAGAATCCAGGTGTTCCCCTGGCAATGATCATCAAATCCACATCATCACTCTTCAAGACCTGTAATCATATGTGTATAAGGATAACTATAAGACATTCCATTTTAGCCTGGACAAACATGATACCAAAAGTTCTCAAGAATTACCTTCAACATATGGGACTCTAGGATTTGCCGCCGGCCTTCAACATCAGGATTCGGAACAACAATATGCCGGTCAAAGCGCCCAGGTCTCACTAGTGCTTTATCTAGGGACTGAGGAAAGTTGGTCGCAGCAATGACAATTATTCCCTCATTCTGCTTAAAGCCATCCAGTTCGACAAGCAACTGGTTCAAGGTCATCCTCATGTACTGTTGATCCTTTGGATTTCTGCTCCCACCGATTGCATCAATTTCATCCATGAATATGATACAGGGAGAACGTTTTTTAGCTGCAGCAAAAAGGTCCCTGACTCTTCTAGCTCCTACACCTACAAACATCTCCTCAAACTCACTACCGCTGCATGAGAAGAAAGGGACACCAGCTTCCCCAGCAACAGCCCTCGCTAACATGGTCTTCCCAGTGCCAGGAGGGCCAACCAGCAAGACACCTTTTGGCAGTTTTCCACCAAGATGAGTAAAACGCTGAAAAGAAGGAGGCAGCTTGTGACTTCTGATCACCATATAGCACAAGTATATGACAAAAACAGTTATGAAATGATAGATCATATATGCATTAAAGTGCACAACATATCTGTGAGAGACTGACATAACACGATATTATCTCCACAGATATGGTCTAAATCACAAAACATTGATTTAAGAAAGCAATTGAAAAAGCCATGCACTTGATAGTGCCAAGTCAAAGTTATAGGACCCAGATAATAGGATAAACAAGCTGGATACTATCAACAAAATCAAGCAAAAGTTTTGAATGGACCAGGACATTGATACTATCAACAAAATCAACACCTCAAGATTCAGAAAAACAACATTTCAGATGAATCTCCTGCAGAACAGTTTACATCATAGCATGGAAAAGAATAATCCAGGCCAGCTTGCAGATGGACCACACGTGCAAAAATAGCTAAATTTGTTAAGACTGCACTTTTATGAAATTTATAGTGATTAAGTGCCAAGTGTTAAACCTACAGAGGTTTCTGCAACTTGGACTATAAGCATGTGGTTTTTGTGAAATTACCTCATATTAATGTTTATTACTAAAAATAAGTAACTGTTAAAACCATTGTCAAGTGAGGAAATATACCCTTTAAGACACATCGTATAAATTGACATAACTCTGTATCCAAGCAGCCAGACAAATTTTACC